TTAATTTGCTAATTTATTTTTTTAAAAAATATATAATAATTTAATTAATTCAATATAAAAAATAAAAAAATTTATTTAGTTTCGGTTCTTGATCTGGACTCGAGACCTGACCCAAACCCATCTATTTTCGATTCGAGTACTCGTTCGGGTATTTAACTTATGAAGAACCGCTCGATTCGATTCAAAACTTTTGAACACCCCTAATTCAATCACTCCATAATCTATATGGGTCTTGCTGGAGGCGGGTTTGACTTTGCTCTGCCCTCTTATTTACTACCACAAAATTGCAACCTTTTGAGTAACCAACATGGCTGAACACCAAAATTTTGTACAATGAATTATGCCCATGTTGTTAAATACCAAGATTTTTTTAGTAGATTTTTATAAAATTGATAAAAATCGTGAATCTAATATATGATTAAAATTAATTGTTGATTTTGATTTAAATAATTATCTACTTTTTTAACTGCACTAAACAGAGTCTGTATGATTTGTGTTCAATATCATTGTCTACAAATTTGAGGATATCAAAGACACCTAAGATGTACTCGAAGAAAAAGATGAAATTTTCTATCATTAGTTGTAATTTAATTTGTTCAAAGTAAATTATTTTAAGAATATAAATTGACATGTGATATATAGAGCTCGTTCGACATATTTTAAATCTTAATCATTATTTATTTGACATTGAAATATTGCAATGATTAATATATCATATTAAGAGTATTTTTAAGAAACTCTCTATTTATAAAGAGCTTGTTCTGCTTTTTAAGAAACGTTTATTGGTTTTTCTTTATCTTTTATTTAATATTTTTTTATAAATCAATTATCAATCAAATATAATTTGAATAAATCAAGGATTACAGTGTTGAAATACGTAACTAATTAAATGCATAATTTTAAAGTAAGAATAGATTGATGTTTTTTTAAAAAAAGTTAAAATAGAGAATATTTTGGAGTTTATTTAAAGAGCATCTTGTAGTTGGAGAGTTTCTTGAATTGCTTTGACATAGCATTCTATTATATAATACGATCATTATTTAATACTTATTTTAGAGCTTTTTTATGAAGTGTTAATAAATATTTTTTTTTAATAAATAGATAGAAATGCGTGATAAAAATGGTAGTACTTGTAGGTGTCACGGAATGTGTAGATAAGAATT